CCCTATAAACCCTAAACCCTATTCCCTAAGCCCAATAGGCCCTACCTTTTACATCCTGAATCACGACACCCAGAACCCTAAACCCGACTAAACCCTTTTTACCCTATAAACCCTAAAGCCTCAAAAAGCAAGACTCACATCCCAAGGTCTCCCGAGCATTGCAGGATACAAATCGCCGTGCCCAGGTGGGCCTGTTTCTGGCAATTTGTGAAATTTGGTACATAGAAGTGAAAAAGCAATAAGAAGACAAATAGAAATAGGGTTTAGGGTAGCATTTGTAACAATAATCAGAATAATAGTCATGAACAGTAAAAATAGTAGAAGGTATTGCTATCCTTACTACTCTTACCATAGCAACTATTACAAACAACATTACTATTGTTATCTATTGTTATTATGACTTATGATAACAGTAAAATAGTAATAACAGCGATAGGTATCTTCTGAGAGTCCGGAGACTTCAGGCTGTTGAATCCTCGCCGGTCAATCTCTTTTTTAAAAATAGTAGGAACAATAACCTAGACCCCTTAAAGGCGGAACTTACCAATAATCCCTCGTTTCCCCAATGTAGTGATGGGGGTCATTTAGGTCATTCTGGGGGGTTCCATGTTTTGGATCCTGGGGGTCTTGGAATACTAAGAACAATCATTAACAGCAATAATAGTAATCATAATAAACATAGGAGGAGTCGTAATGATTGAGATTCTGATTCCCTAAACCCTGAACCCTCAACCTTAAACCCTCAACCCTAAAGGGCTGGAGGTTGCTAGTCTGTACTGGACATTGACCTTGACTTGTTCCAGGCCCTGCAGAGATATTATCTCAAGCAGGAAGGAGAAAAAGGTCACATAACAAGACCAACAACCACAGCAACGGCACCATTGCAAACAGTCGGCAAAGAATATAAGACCGGGATCGATGGGAAAAATGGTAAGTATGAGTGCCTTGAACATCTTCACTCAAGATTCGCCTAGTCTAGTGTAGGTTTGGGGGACGTACAAAAAAAAGCTTTCTTTATGGCATTATAAGGACTATATAGGAATTAGATCTAACAAAAAATGAGCAACCAATTTGAAGCCTACCCCTAGTATCCGGTGGGAGGTGGGCTGCGCACTCGCGCAGGACGGAGGAGCGGAAAACCGTAAACCTCCAAAATCACATGGCACCTATATCTCCAGGTTTAGGGGTTTTAGGGGTTTAGGGTTTAAGCTCGGTCTTGCCCCCACATTGTAACAGTCTATATTAGGGGTCGTATGGAGGGCTATATATATATATATGTGTAGATAATATTATGAATATTCTGCAACTACTACAGAGTGGAGGCAGTATACTATCCTAGTTCCCATTGCATTCTCCATGTTCTTTTCCATTTGGTTGCCCATTATGAAAGAAGTTGATGCGCTGGCAACAACACCCGCGTTGAAAGGCTAGAAAACCCTAAGCGCTGTTGCAACAGGCTTTCTACCTCGCCTGGAGCCTAAACCCTCAACCCTAAACCCTAACCCTAAGGGTCCAAGGACCCAAATAATAGGGCTTTAGGGCCCAAATACTATAATATTAGTGGTATCTGGGCCCTAAAACCTCATTATCTGGGTCCTTGGACCCATAGGGTAAGGCATACACCCTAAGCCCGGCCGAGGCACACCATTCATGACCCGGCTCCGCGCTCCAGTCAGCTGGGGAGAAATCGCTGGCCGTGACCTTTGGGGCCTTGTTCTGCACAAACCTCGGATGGTCGGATGGTAACAAGTCCAGTTAAGGGAATTCTAAGTGGGGGTTTCCCAAATTATGGGTACCTTTTTGGGGGTCCCCATAATAAGGACTATAGTATATTGGGGTCTATATTGGGGTCCCCTTATTTTGGGAAACTACCAAGTAGTGTTATAGGCCCAGATATAAGCAGAAGCTTCCAGTCTACAAGGCTAGAACGTCTGTAACTCTAATCATGGGCTGTCTGGGCAAAAACAAGTCAGCGCAAAAGATGCTTATAAGTGGCTCAAGATCTGAGCCTGTGCCCAGGTCCGTATACTTGGAGAGGGCTTCCAGGGTATCCTTCAAACGATGACAAGCACCACTTGCAAGAGCGGCCAATTTCCCACCCCACAAGGCTCACGAGCACAAGCCGCATGCTACTACAAGGCCTTGGAGGTCGAGAAGGAGTTCATGAGCATGAACTTCAGGTCCTCGGTGCAAACACAGCTTCCTAGGACGGTTTGTGTCGATAACACCAGAGAGCAACCCAGGCAGCGAAAACGTGAAATTAGGCAGGAACCAGGGAAGTCCAGGAACCAGGAGGACGGTTACAGTACAGGCAGCCTGTCAGAAGAACACGAAGACGTTTTTGCTAGGTTGCTGGGAAGGAACTGAAATTAATTTACTACAGCGGGGAACCCGCATGAACTACTATACATATACCGACCATGGTAACTCAAATAAGTTTCTGATGCTCTAAACCCTTAAACCTTGCTGCAAAGCGGCACTCTTGAACTCTTTCTTCATGGTCGCCACCTGCTTCGCGATCCTTAAGCCATCCGGGTACAAAAAAAAGCTGTGGAATGGCTCCTACATCTTATATAACCCTACATACACCCTATAAAACCCTACATGCACCCTATAAAATGACGGGACAGTAGTTCCATGCATTGTCTTTTACATTCTTCCTATATGACCTGATCAGTTGCTATAAAACTATTAGCTATAGTCTAAACTCCTAGAACTCTTAGTATTCCCTAAATAATTAAGCCCTACTGCGTACTACTCCCCAATATAACCCCCTTTAAGGAGTTTAGACTATAGCTCATATACTACCATCCACACTGCTGGATCCTGGCTTGCAGAAAGATATGGCCCGAATCGGTGCGGACCATCTAAACCCTCAACCCTCAATCTCCTAACCCCTAAACCCCTAAAACCTTAACCCTAAACCCTAAATCCTAAATCCTAAACCCTAAGCCCTAAACTGGTGGCAGGGCAGGTCGCAAGTCAAGGAAAGTGTTGCCCTCGGTGACCGTCAGCAGCGACTTCGCCTTGTCGAGGCCCATGCCTGCAACGACTTGGTTGCTGTTAAGGAACTTAATTTGAGTTACTATATTGGGGAAACCCTATAAATTACTATATATACACATTATGGTAACTGATTAATTTAAGTTCCTTAACAGCACCCCAGACGAGGACAGTTGAGGGTTTTCGGGTTTGGGGCTTAAACCCCCCTTTGAGGGTTATGTTGGGATAATGGACAATAAAATGGAAACTACCATTTAGGGTTTAGGGTTTAGGGTCTAGGGTTTGGAGTTTCGGGTTTAGGGCTTAGGTGTTTAGGGCTTAGGGTTTGGGGTCAAGGGTTCAGGGCTTAAGGGTTTAGGGGTCAAGGGTTTAGGTATGTTCAAGTGGGTTAAACGCGGCTATATAGGGGAGTGGCAAAGAAAACGGAAGATATCATGTTGTTCCGGGCTCAGCCTTCATCATCTGGGTTGGCCCCTAAAACAGAAAAATATTAATATATAGGGTCCCCTATTAAAGCCATGAGGGAAAATATGAAATATCCCAGGGGCCTACCCAGCATATAATCACCACTGGAAGAACTGAAACTTTTAGCTCCATGTCACTTTGCCCTCTGAAGGGTGCCATTTTGAGATTTTGAGGAGCACAGCAGGAAGCTACATCAAAGCCTAAGCCTCAAACCCTCATCCCCAAACACTTAAAGTTGTAAAGCTTCAGTAGATGTACGTATAGTTCCCCCGTAAACCCTAATCCCTCAATCTTCTGAAGTCTCAATATGAGCTATAGTCTACTCCCGGTATCCCCCTTAATAACCCCTATATAATACTCCCTTATGTAATCCCTCTATATAACCCACTTTCGGGAGTTTAGATTATAGCTCATATGTAGCTGCCCTGCCTGTTCCCAAACCTCCATTCAGCTTCAGAATGAGGGTCTTTCGGAGGAGCTTGGGATCCTTGCAACAAACAATCTAGGGTTTAGGGTTTAGGGTTATAGTAGTCTAAACGCCTTAAAGGGGGTTATATAGGGGATTATATAGGGTACTACTATAATGGTTTTAAGGGGGATACTAGGAGTTTAGACAATGGCTCATTTAGGGTTCAGGGTTTGGGGGTTAAGTATGGAGTTTAGGGTTTGGGGTCTAGGTATGGGGTTCACGGTTTGTCGGTATGAGTATGATATGTAAGGCTTAGATTTTTCGAGTGGGTTCGGTTTGGTGTTTAGGGGTTGGGGTTTTCAGTTTGGGATTCGGGTCTTGGGCTCTGGCATCATCAGGTGCATGGGTAGCTCACCCGTGCGGAGTTTCGATAGTCCTCCCCTAAGAACTCCCAGGAGACCCACGTGTGTTAGGAGAAGGTAGAGAAGGCCTACCTAAACCCCAAAAGTATGTAAAATAATAGCCCTAAACCCATAAAAACAGCCCAAAGGGCAATTATTTTACATACTTTTTGGGCCCAGGTAGAGAAGACTACCTGACTGGTAAGTTACTGGTGCTGAAAGGAGAGAGGAGCAGTGAATATAGGGGCAAGAGAACATGGAGACTACTTTGTATTGCTTTGGGTTTAGGGTCAGGGCTTAGGGTTTAAAAGCTTACTTAGGTTTCAGGGCTTCGGGTTTAGGAGGTGTAGCAATTATCTGAGAGACTAGTGAACAGAAATGGAAACTGAAATGGAAAGGCTGATAAAATTAAACGGATTATGTACAGATGTGCCTCAGCTAGGTAGGTCTAGAACGGCACCGCGTGGCATGTAGGATAGGATCGTGGCGGGGAAGCAAATGCAACAGAAGATGGAGCATGAATTGGAAACCGGGATGATCTCTGAATTAGGTGAACAAGGGACCGGGGAGGAATATTCGGAAATACTGGTACCATCCTTAGTAGCGACTATACGATGCACAGGTTACAAGCTGGTTCTACCTAGAGAAGGAGCTGTTGGGCAATCATCTTTGTAACGTACTTTTCCCTTCCGAAAACACAGGCCTAAGTTACGTGGACATCCGACACACTCTATTCATGGTGCCTGACCCCCAAACCCCAAACCCATCAAAAAGAAGCAGTGCTCTGCTGCCTTTACCGCTGAGCGCATGTGAGAACAGTTTTGTTTTTTCAATTTGAGGCTGAACCACAAAAATTACATTCTCTTTACAAATACTCTGCCCAAAAGGAGATACAATCTTACTCTCTAGCAGGGACCATCGCATCCCCAAATGAAATGCTGCTCGTATGTCATCGCTCATGAGGAAACTATCAGCGGTGCCGTGTCCCAATGTCTTGCTTCACTCACTCTCTGTGGGAGCCTTAAGATCTTTGCCTATCACCAGCTGAATCACAACCGGTGGGTCCGGAAGTCTTTTTCAAATCAATCGGTGCAGCTCCTTTTAACCAGGCATGGGCTCCTGCGCTTCGTCGCCCGTGCCTTCCGCACTTGACTCGCTTGACTCGCTTGAGGAGCTGCGCAGCTCCTTTTCTGCTATCTCGAGTTGCTGCTGGCGGCTGGCTGCATCCTTCAAGGCCTTTATCATTCGAGCAGCCCTTGTGGCCGGGTCGGGGCCAAGCTTCCCAATGGCGCGGTGGAGAACGATGCTGCGAATGTGCACTGGCTGAGTGATGTGACATAAGCGGGAGATTGCTACCACCAGTTGCTCTGCTGCTTTGTCATCTTCTGCTTTGAAGAAGAAGGAGCGCTGGGCAGTCCAAACGGAAAAGCATCTCCAGGCTGCCTCTTTGTGTCGCAACTTCTCGGGCAAGGAGTCCGCGCCTAAGCCAACATGCGTCACGTCCTTGAAGTCCACCGAGCTAAGACGCCTTCCGAAAACTCTAGGGCGCAGGTCTTTGGACCACGTCAGTTTATGCGGGATTGCGGGCAAAATGGGGGAAAGCTGCATGAATCTCGGCTGCCAGCGCGCTTTGCCAGCACAAAGCTTGCTGACAACCATTCCCTGCGAAAGAGCAGTGATGGCGGAGGCTGCCAGCTGCCCACTGGGATCTTTGCCCTCCTGGGCACGCTGCAAACGGCGCTGCGCGCGGAAAGTTTTGTCCTCTACCTGAGGTGCATAGCCTTGGCTTCGGTCTCTCTCGCCTTCAGCCTCGGCTTTCACTGCAGCAAGGGCGGCTTCAGAGATGTCCAGTGAGTCCCGCAGCTGCTTTGTCATTGACTCTGAAACTTCAAGGTCCTCGCAAGCCCTTTCTAGCTGTGCCTTCAGGACCTCAAGCTGTACATCGCTTCGGGCACGCTTCTGTCGCTCACTTTGGAGCTCCTCTTTCAGTTTTACTGGAGACCGAGGTGACTGAGGCCTGTCAACCCCAGCTTCCTTGAGACTATGTTTCGAAGCGTTGCAAGCAGCTGCTACTGCAACCAGCTCAGCCTCCAAAACAGCGGCTTCCTCAAGAAATGGTCCAGTCTGTCTTCGGGTGGCATCCACGTAACGCTGGAAATCAGCGTTCTGCAGCTCCAGCGCAGCAAAGAGCTCCTGACAGAGCCGAAGGACTGCACAGCTGGCCGCCTCCATCTCAGCCGATCGGGACTCGGAGGCTGCCAAACGACGGCGCAGCGACACTGCCTCCGTTGCCTTTGACCTGGACTTTGCCAGGAGCTCCTCTACCACCTCAAGTTTGGCCTTCAGCATCTGGGAATCCTCCATGAAGCCTCCACCAGTGCTGGATCCTTCTCCAAAGCCTCTTCCGCAGACAGGGCAGGTGAAGCTGCCCGCTGAAGCAGGAGACTCAGGCATTTCCGAAGCTTCGGTCGCCCGCGGCTCTTGCCAGTCTGACTGGCTGGGGCTCAGCTGACCTGCATGAAGGTTCTCAGCGCCACGAAGAGCACGATGCACTCGCTGCAACGCCGCGGCCTCTGCCTTTAAGTCCTCTTCCGTGACCGAAGCCCCTGGCGAGGCCTCCACACGTCGCTGCCGCCTCCCTGGACTTGCCCCGTTTGCTTTTGCCCGGCGTGCCCGAGACAGCAGCAGGGCCTCTGTTTGGACACCAAGCAACGGAGAGGAAGGGTCCATGGCAAACGGGCGTGACGCGATTCCGGAAGGATCCTACACCCTAAAGGCCCTAAACCCTAAATAGTAGTTCCCATACTATTTCTCATTATCCCAATATAACCCCAGCATAACCCTAATATTACCCCAATGGGTACCATACAGGATCGACCTCTTGACGCGGAAGCCTTAAGCCTGCGCACGGCGGCCTTCAGCTGCCTAGACAGTGGCTTGTCTTACTGTCTCACAAGCAATTTCAACACAATAATGTCCCGACTCCCTGCTCAGACTCCTGGGAGGATCTAAAAATAAGATCCCTTATATAGACCCATAATGACCCTATATAATCCTTATGTAATGGTGGTTTTAAGGGATCTAGTTTTTAGATCCCTCTGGGGGTCTGGGTGAAGGATGTTGGCTAACATGACGCTATCTAGCAACTTGCTTGACTAGGGATTGTCTCCAGGGGGCTCTTATAATAATGCTATATGAGCTATAATCTTAACTCCCTGAATGACCCTGATAATACTCACCTATATAGCCCCCTTTAAGGAGTGTAGACTTAGACTATGGCTCATATGGAATTACATGAAGCCTATGGCTTGAGATCTGCAAGCAGCGCTCATAAACTGCGCGACTGGAACATGACTTTAGGCTTTAGGCTGCTGCCAAGTAGCCGGCTTCTCTCTAATCTTGTCGTACCTGCATGCATGCCGGGGCAGTCCGTGTACCCTTAGTTGGGGTTATAAAGCCCCTATCCTTAAACCCTTTTTGCATCTGGGCTCGCACACAGCATTTAACCCTAAACCCTAAACCCCTATCATTAAACCCTAAACCCAAGTACCTGAAATGGCCTGAAAGAAGGGTAGTCGGAGGATCTAAGTGCAGAGGCTGACCAAAACACGGGCGTTACAGCTTAGCTTGCGGTCTCCTCCAGGTAGAATCCCACATCGTACTTTCCAAAAATAGGGAAACTAGGGTAGGTTTTGGGGGCCCTAAGACCTACATTTTTCTGGCTTTAGACAGATTGTGGGAATTAAGGTTAACAAAATTGAAGCTCATTGTCAAACCAATCCCGGGAGACTCCAAAAAGCGACCCCATTGGGCTACCATACTTACTATAATGACTTCTCAAAACAATTCAAAATGCGCCTAAGTAGGGAGTTGTTAGCTGCTTTTGGCTCTATAGGACTATTGCACTCTTTATGAAATAAAGTATTCCTAGGGAATCTCATTCGAGTGAAGGGTACTTGATTTTTGGTATGTCTTTCTCCATAGCCTTAGTATCCAAAGAGTCTGCAAATTCTTGTCTTTTGCTGCAAGAATCAGCACCATCTCAATACTTCCAATATTTTCTTTTCCTCAACATGAGAAATTCCTGTAATATTCCAATGGTTTCCGAGCGATACTACATGTGTATCAATTTGGAAACCCCACATGGGCACGGAACACCAGAAATCATGAGGAGCTAGAGAGAGTTAGGGGATATGTACCCTGGACTTGCCCTCACTTACGCATTATTTTACCTCTACTGGAGCAAATTATCCCCTTACACCCCCCTTCCTCAAAACCCTAAGCCCTAAACCCTTTAGAACAAACTCGTACATTCCAGAGGCTCCTACTTAGAAGGGCCAGGACAACTTAGTAAGTAGGTCCACAATGCAGGCAAGTAGGTTTATTGTATGGCTTACGGGGTCTAGAAGTGGTGATTCCCCTTAGTAGCGGAACCCAGTCATATCGGGTATATTATAGAAAAAGGTTAAGTCCTAATCCCTATACAGCTTGGGAGACCCCCAGATATACTAAGTCCACCTGACCCTCCATGCACTTGCTCAACACACCGTACAGTAAAGCTTAGCTCGGCCAATCCAGACGCCGTCTTGTCTTCGTCTCAACGGAACCCCTGATGTTTCCATTGTTACGGTATATTCTAGTCTGTGACAATATGTGACACCATGTACGATTGTGATGTAGATATTGTAGTATACTGGACATCCGCCCTATAGCGGGTCAGGCTTTGACTTCTAGGGTGAGAGGAGCAAACCCTGGACTTGAATCATGCTTAGGTGATTGCACTATGGCTGAATGACTGATGCCAAGGAACTCGGTCAACTTGTCGACCGGGTCCAGTTTGCTCTCCGGCAGCATGACCTGGTAGCCAAATGGGCTTCAGAAAGCAGCCCAATACACTTGCAAGATTGTGTCCAGTTCTCTGAGCACCCTGCATCAGCACCGGAGACGAGGACACCTCAGCTTAACTTGCCATTGCAAGGAGTTTGGCGCATAAGCTGGAGAGGTCGGAATTTGTTAGAGCTGAAAGTGCCAACCAGCGCCGTCTATATGCTGAAACATGCTGAGCAGTTCTACGTGCCATGAAAGAAACATCAAAACAGCAAACGCCGCCAAGCTGCCGTAGGTGTATTTGAAAGCCGCAATGGCAGACTCATTGAGCTCTTCCTAAACGCTGCGCATGTCACAGCAACAACCATGCTTGCGGGCATGCAGAACGCGTTCAGGTGAAGCCGGCTTTGTCAAAGGCTATGCTGAAAATATTTGCTGAGAATAAGGTAGTATAACTCCTATATAATCCGTATATAACAAAGGTAGTCTGCAGAATTCCTCGCCTTCTTCATCTTCTCTTCAAACTTAGGCCACATGTCCACCATCTTCGAGGGCCCGACCTGACAGGACAGGGTTGCGTGCACAACATGGTACCACCTTTCGTGTCCATTTTCCTACTAACAATACGAACACTGAAGAAACTGATACGAATAACCGTACGTAACGACAATGAAACCAGACATATTATTCTGTGTTGAGCAGCCTTGGACACGATGTCCATGAAGGTAGGCTTCAGCGAAGCTCCGCCCACCAAGAAGCCGTCGATGTTTGGCTTCGTGATGAGCTCCTGGATTTTGGAATTTAGGGTTGTGTGTACGTGCCTGGCACCCCTCTCAATGCTCCTCTTTCCGAAGTACAAATGCCGCTTCTTTTCTTCCAAGTGCTTTCATATGCTTTACCAGCTTTACCAGTTACACCAATCACCGTTGAACGCATGTGAAGCCAGGGAACAGAGCAGTTGTCAGGGGTGACGCTGCCGCCGTACTGAATTCTCACCTGCAACAGTCTTCAACGCTCCGTGCTTTCTTGCAGGTAGACAACCCGGCACAGACTGCCAGGCATTGGCTCTCTCGCTAGCTTTTTCTCACCAAAGCGTTGTAAGTGTCTCAGCTGTACGGCTGTGCCTTTGGCATGGCTCGGTGCGGCACTCGTTTTGGGGGCATCGGGCTAGGTGCACGTGGCCTCGCACGGCTTCGCAGATGAGACCTCAGCTGCTTCTGGCTTAGCTGAGCGTCCAAGGATGTTGGAAACCTGAGCTGCCAAACGATATCCCCAACCTTGGCTCCTAATGGGTTGCCGACTGCAATACACAAAGAATAGCTAGGTTGCACGCCTAGGTAGGGGCAGTGCCAAGTGGCGTTGCCGGGCTTCCTGCCCTTGTCGGCGAAGCTTGTGGCGGTGAGGTGGAGCCTTGGAAACCTTGGCTTCTCCTCGGTTGCACGGCTGGCGCGGGGCCACGGCTTTCTGGCGCCTTCTTGCGAAGGGGTGCCAAGGAGCTCTGTGATGGTGACGCGTGCGGTAAACGGCTGCGCTCACCTCGGCCCTGCTTTGGAGCCGTATTTTGTGAGTTGCTCAGGCCGCCGCTGCCCTTTTGATGTGCTGAGTGGGCTAGTCTGCCCACAGCTTCCGGCGGTAGCTCTGGGGACATGGCTGGCATGTCGATCTCAGCGGTTCTACTAGGTCTCTCTGCCTCTCTGCTCGGCGCAACATCATCCGTCACAAGCTCCGGTAGATCTAAGGCTTCCCAGCTCATGATGCCGGAGCCATGAAGCGGCTGAGGCGCGCTGTTGCCGGGCAAGGCTCCAGCCATGTTTTCCAGAAGTGAAGCCCCAAGACATTCTGAGAAAAGCGACGACTGGGCAACCTCCTCCGGCACTGCAACTGTATGCTCTGGACTGAGGGCAGCCGCATGGTCAGCTTCTGTGGGAAAGACCCCGGCAGACTTGTAGGATGGGTCCAGCTCTGCCGTCATGGTGGAATCACCAATTGAGGCCGTAGATGGCGAGGTGCCATGCTGGTGCGCTGTGGGCCAGAGAGCAGATTCTGGTGGAGGAAGGTCTTTTTCCTCCAAGTGGCTGGGATCAACAGATATCAACAGCTTCTCCTCCCACCCGGGCGGGATCACCGTCGTAGCGGCATCCTGCACAGCATCGGCAGCGTCACTTCCCACAATGCGTGATAATGCCGCCCGGACTTTCTCAAAGAGCTCGCCCTCTTGTCCATCCTCTAGTTCAAGAAACTCCTGCTCAGACGCTTGGGGAGCACTTTTCCCGCAACTGATAGGCTCAGGTTCTGTATCGTGCGGCTCCTGCCCCAAACACCACCCACCTGGGTCCAGTATCTGCTCCTGCTGATCCATGGGAAGCGCACTACGACTCTCCTCAGAGACGAAAGCTGTCTAGCGCTCCTCCCTCAGAAATGTCAGCATGTCGGGTGCGTGCAGGCGAGTAGACATCTGTATCCGCCACCTCTGTCGATTCAGGCGCAGGCGCCCGCACCTGTGCATATGGCACCGGGCTGGCATTCTGCAAGGGCAATGATTGGACGGGCAACTCTGAATCCACTTCATGAGAAGGGTCATGGCGGATAGCCGGGAGATTGGCTGCAAAAGTTCTAAGCTCTGTAGCGTCACTAGCTGCATGTTCTGCAGGTAACGTGACATTCGGATTCTGACGTCCCACATACTCGGCAGAGAGGAGCCGGATCATGTCTGCAAGCTCTGCTGTTTCTCTTTCCTTCTCCTGCAAAACCTGATTCCATCGTGTACAGTCTTCTGCAATTGCTGAGGCGCGTCTCCACAGAGCCTCCAGCATGTGCTCAAAATGTTCCTGCCGCTGCTCCGCAGATGCTTCAGCTGCAGAAAATGGCTCATTGTGAGGTGCTGCTTGCCAGTGAGCCACAGTGGATGTATGGTGCACATGTCTGACACGGCTTTGGGCAAGGACCCGAGCCGGGGACACATGGCACCTAGGAGCTGGTGAGATTGATCGTGATACATGCACAGCAGAGTGTGGCGGGAGCCCAGTGCAAAGTCCCACTTCATGCTGGCACGCCTGATGATGGTGCGCGGGTACATGCAGGACGGCGGGTCCAGAAAGGCATTGCGGAGCCGGCGAGACTGATCGGGCGACCCGTAGCGGCGAGGCTGTCCTGGCTGCGTAGACGGGGATGCTGTGTTGACCAGAGTGGATCTGAAGCGGAGCTGGCACCGCAAAATGAACCTTGGCAACAGAAGACTCGATGATTGCAATCATGTCCCCTTTGTCTTGGCACAATAGCCAGAAAAAAGTTCACTCCAGGCAGCTTGGGCTGGCAGTGGTGACAGCGGCCTGGCTAGGAGCTGCGGCGACGACTGCGGCTGCGCGGCTGGCAGCGGAGGCACAGTGGCCGGCCTGCAGCGTTGGCCGTCGAGGACAGACTCTGGGCACGATGAATGTAGCTGCACGAAGCAAAACATGCACATGTATCAATGACGCCTAAGGCCTTAAGCGAGATTATGAGGGCAACAGGCCAGCAGGCTTTCATCAAGACTGCACAGTTGACGCCCGATTCATCTTCGCCACAACCGCTCAAAGTCTCGCCCCAGCGGATGACAAGCTGCTTTGAGCACCCCTGCGGTGAGAAAACCACGTGAGAATGAATCTACATTTTTCCATGCCTCAGCGCAGGTTGTGCTCTGGCAGGAAGGGTGCTCCTCATAAGCCTGGGGTTTTCAAGACAAGCAGCCTTCAGTACGGTAAGTTTGGCAGGCGTCCACATCAGCGTGTCATGCTACAAGACAGCACATTCACCACTGTCTAATACCTGGACACTGGCCTTGAACCCGCAGATAGCGGCTTTTGCTAAACGCGTTTCAGGGTAACTGTCACTGTCCTGCATGCTTTGAGCCTAGGGTCAGCGGAGTGTCCGGGTTCGACGCACAACGAAACGCATGTTCTGCAGTTCTTCGTGCCCGCAGCAGCCTCAGCGCGCATGGAAATCTACCTTCCATTTGCATATTGGAAGCCCTGAAGGCTCAGGTCCCTTAGTCTTTCTAGCGGATGTTAGGATGAAACTTATTGCTGAAACTCGAGAAGAATACCATCATTTGTGACAAACTCCGATGACTCCTGCGTGCATCTCCCGTGCTCTCGGCAAACTACTACCCTGCGGCTGTCTGTGGGATGTTCATGTGCCCTGCTGAAGCTGCAAATAAAGAAATATTGCTACCCATGTTGACCGAAATCTCACGGTCAATCAGAAAACGGTGGCTGCCTGGTCGTCCAAGTAGCTGAACCTCACTCTTCCTTTGGGCAGGAGCTTCAACTTCCTGTTCATGGAAGATGCGCCATCCCTGTTGGAAGGCGCCCACCATCTCCAGTCATGCGCAGGCGTCAAAGAGAAGACTACCCAAAACGATAATCCCCTCCCCCAACATAAAACACGTCCACGCCCCTAATTTTAAATATTCCAAATATATTACAATATACAACGTAATGGGAGCATTTCGTATTAGGGGCGTAGTTAATATTAGGAGGAAGGGATTATTCTGAGCATAGTTTACTGCCTTGCTACGTGAGACCCCTGGCTGTCATCTCGATCTGAGCCCGCCTACTAGGGTCGGGGGACACAGTAACCTTATCCATATGTACTATAGTCTGCACGCCATAAATGGGGTTATATACGGGATCATATAGGGGACTACTATACGGGTTATTAATTAAGAGGGATACTAGGAGTTTAGACCATAGCTCATAAAATTTTCGTGTAACTACCCCAGCCATCCTGACCTGCTTGCTGGAGTGCCCTGGCCCTCCCAAATAGGAGGGTCCAGGGAGGGGCAAGCTCCACCTACTGGAGCTCGTTTGAGCAGCCGCACGTGGTGCTTGAGCCACCCTGTGTCCAACAAACACCAAACAACTGCAAAGGCACAGTGACAATAGTAGTACTAAAAAATGGTAGGGGCCAGAGATCGAGCTCTGATCTATAAAAGAATCTACAGTTGGCACCTACTTGTAGGTAAGCATACAGACTGCAAAGGGCTGTAGCAGGGAAGCAAGCGGAAAAGACACCTGGAAGATGACATGGAAACTGAGGGATTAAGGTTTAGTGGCTGGGCACAGATTACGAAACTCTAGCGCTATCTAGAATTATAAGTGTGACCACAAGAGACTTACATAATATTACATGGCTACAACTTGCTTTTCCCTAGGGTTGGCCCTGGCATTGACAAAGCATCCTTACATCAATACACTACCCAGAATCCCACCTGAAGTCTTGTGTCTTCTGGTTGCTCTTTAAAACTCTGACCCAGATTGGGATTCCGAACATTATGCGTCCGTTTCTGGGGTCCCCATACCTGAGGGATTAAGGTTTAGTGGCTGGGCACAGATTACGAAACTCTAGCGCTATCTAGAATTATAAGTGTGACCACAAGAGACTTACATAATATTACATGGCTACAACTTACTTTTCCCTAGGGTTGGCCCTGGCATTGACAAAGCATCCTTACATCAATACACTACCCAGAATCCCACCTGAAGTCTTGTGTCTTCTGGTTGCTCTTTAAAACTCTGACCCAGATTGGGATTGCGAACATTATGCGTCGGTTTCTGGGGTCCCCATACTATGGACTATACGACTTTGATCTAGATTCGGGTCCCCCTATCCATGGAAACTAGCATATCACCCATTTAAAGGGCCCAGACGCTAAACCCTAACCTAAAAAGTTCCCTGGCACATTCCCCCCGCCTTGTCAGCCACGGAGGCGCCAGCTGCCTCCTTGAGGTAGGCTCGGATGGCTGCCTTTCAAAGGACAATTTTAGGGTTTAGGGGTTAGGGGTTTAGGGTTTAGGGGGTTGAGGGTTTAGGGAAACTGGGGGCCTAAATCAAGTAGAGTAGTGGTATCCCAAGGTCCCGTTCAAGGGGTCATAGGAAAACACAGGGTTGAGGGTAAGAATATGTATCAGATGGGACATGAAACGGAAACTGGGATGATTTAGGGATTTAAGGTTTAGGGGCTAGGTATCCCAACCAGGGGGTTGCATGAGGGCCCTAGGGGCTATATTGGGATGTAGGATATGTAGTCAAAGGATCTGGATGACCCAAGAAGGGAGAATCAAAAGAAACATGGAATGCAAACTAGAGATTTGTAGTGATTATAAAGGGGTTTATAAGGATCACCTGAACGCTGACCCGAGAATCAAAGGGACGGAGAACTGGAGACGAGGGGCTTACAGGGATATATGAGCTACAGTCTAAACTCCCCAAAAGGGGGTTATATAGGGGATTATTTTGGGGACTACTAATTCATTCGCACAACTGCTTTTGGTGCCATTTGTTCTTGGCAGCTGCGAAGAAAGACACCATAAAGACATGCCTCTACCTAAAACCTGTACTTAAGTCAAGTTAGGCATTGAATCTCGTTTCCCCAACAGAAGACAAACACTGATCTTGCTATTTGGCCAGGTCCATTGAAAAGGTACCCCTAAACCACAAACAATGTTATATAAATCCCCTATATAACCGCAATATACGATAGTACTTGCCATTTCATTTTCCATTGGCCCTATAAAAGTACATTTATCCAGGCCTTTTGGCCGACCTTTGGAGGTTTCCCAAAATTCAGGGTACCTTTATAGGGATAATGGAAAATGAAATGGAAACTACTATCGTATATTTGTGTATAGGATTTATAAAGGGTTTAGGGATAAGGGTTGAGGGGTTCCCAAAATTGGGGGTACCGCTTGGGGTCCTAACATAAGGATTTTTTTGTGGGTCTACATTGAAGTCACCCTATTCTGGGAAACGACCATTTAAAGGGTCTAGGGTTTGAGGCGGCACCTTTGTCCTTCGCTTATTTGAGCTACAGCCAATATATCCACGTGATCAATGGGCAAGGGTTCCTACTTGTGAATACCGTAGGGACTATACTAAACTACCAGCCCCCTGTGCACCCTAAATGGTTCCTTGATAACCCTAATCTTGACAGTAACTCAAAATTATCTATAAGCCCCTGCATGAACCAGTTCATGTTCCATTTGATTCTCCAGTATAGCGAAGTTCCATTTGTTATTCCTTAAACCCTCAACATATGATCCCTACATATCCATATATCTCTTCGAAGGGCTGTTGGCACTTTCCTTTCCATGAGTATTGATAGGATTCTCCATTATTGGGGGTAATGTCCCTGAACCCAAGACCCCAACCCTTACACCCTACAATCCCTAAACCCTTTTCCCCAAACACTATGTGAGCTATAGTCTAAACTCCTAGTATCCCCCTTAAAAACCCCTATAGTAGTCTCCTATATATTCCCCT